GAACTGGGGAAGAAGCAGAGGCCGACTCCAGACGGAACACACCGAGGCGTACGGCGCCAGGTTGGGAGTTGGGAGGGCAGGGTGCTAGCATGCCCTGGGCTAGCAGGCAGGGAATCACCACACCGAGAGGAAGTCCAAAATCCAGCCAGTAAGAACTTCACTACCCCTGGCTTCTCCATAGCCATCTGGTGTGCCTCAGCCATAGCAGCCTCTCGCTGCTGAACCCTGACCGCTCCTATCCATCGATGAGCGCAGACAGACAAAGAAAGGTAAAATCCAATAGTTCCTGCTCAAACGGATCTGCTGGGCCCATATCTCAGGTCGGTTCGTAATGTTACGGTGTGTGTAGGAAGCAGGACCCAAATGCAGATTAAAGTGTCAAAAACTCCTTTATTTCAAGGCTTAACCTGTTACCGAAACAAAACACAAGTCTCACAAGAAGCGTTAGCCCTTAGCTAAAACGGGCAGATGCTACTTCCGGTGCTAACTAGCAAAAACGATCTTTAAAACTTAATATTTTCTGCACAAACTACATATCATCTGAAAGCTGATACTCCACAGATTATTTTTGTTATAACTATCATCACTGTAGGACACAAACTCACTGAGATATCAACCAGAACAGAGAAGGAAAAAAACAACAGTTTTCAAAACCATAACAATAATTATGTCTTACCGTTGCTGTTTTGTGATCAAAGCTCGTGTTCAAGTGAATAAAAACGCTTCTTAAGGTTAGTCCAATGTCTATTAGTCACTTTAGAATTGTTCCTGATAATCTATCATTACATTCATGGCAGCAGAGTAGGTATAAAGTTTCGCAGTCCCGAGCTAATGCTGTTTACGCAAACCTCTCTCTACTTGACGTAAGTGTTTAGCGGGACTTACTAACTGTCACTCGATTCTATTGGCTCTAACGGTTCAGAAAAGGTGTCAATCACCCAAATCGACCAATGGGTTCCAAAGATATGATCCTGCGTAGTATAAACTACGCCCGCTCCGGCTCCATTACGCAGCCAGAAGGGAGGGCTTCACCACCGAGGCGAGCAGGTGCTAGAGATGCTAGCTGACGATAGCTCATACCAGATGACTTTTCGGGATGAATACCTATAGTGATGATTCAATGTAATACAATTATTTTTATAGTCTGGTACCTGAAAAAGGTCAAATGGCACTGATGGAACCAAATGTGCCCAAAGCTTATTCCGCCTGGACTTTATTTTCATAAACCTCTCTAAAAAGGTCAAATGTCACTTGTTTTGCCTCAATCTTGATACAGGGTACAGGGTATATGTTATACTTTGGATTCCTAAAGCTTTTAGGCTACTAACCCATCATTCAAGGTTGGTCTTCACTATAAGTAATGGGTTTTCTTTAGGCGGAGACAGGAATTTACATTTTTTTGCTATGTTCCATCTGAATTTACTCTGACACAGAAAAATCTATATTGATTCTGACACTTCTACATCCAACTCACAGATGTAACCTTGCTTTGATAACAACAATTATTCATATAAACCTTTTAGAAGTGAAGTTATAGTCATTTGTTCTGGGAATTTCATTTTCGAGCCTGAAACCCTGAAAAACAGGCTCGGGGTTTTAACAGGTTAAACTATTCACAAAGACAGAACAGAACACTCACCGAAGACCAAGTCAAAACACAAGACGAACCGACAAAGACAGACAGAAAAACCAGAACTTAAATACACACAAGACTAATTATACAAACAAGACACAGGTGAGGAGGGCGGAGAAAACACAGGGACACCATGAACACAATCGGGTAATAAGACACACCAGGGAAACTAACGACAGGGAACCACAGACAGATCTAAAGACAAAACACAACGCAGACAGAAAACCAAAGACAGATCTAGACAAGACACAAAACCAAAAACAGATCTAGACAAGACAAAACACAACAGACAGAAACAGGCAAGACAGGAGGTGAAGACCTTTCAAAATAAAACATGAAACAAAAGACAGAAAAAGACAAGACAAAATACAACACAGACAGATCTTGACACTTACCATAATTGCTCTTATGGTGAGAGTTTATGGTTTTATAATCAACACCTTTCTCTATTTTCTTTTTGAATCACCTATGTAGAACCTACTAAACCTGTTCAGTCCCGGACAGCTTGCGTGTTTCTGTATATTATGAGATAACTAAAAACTATTCAAAGGAATACAAAGCTTCAAATTATATCTAATAAGAGACATGCTGGTCTTGCCTAAATGGTTGGACATCATTATGAATATAAAAACAAAAGCTTGTATTACACTTGTTGGGTCATTTTTTTTACGTGGTGCCTTTGGTGTCCCCAGTGCAAAATATGTTGTATTTTGTCTAAATTTGGACAAATACTAATTACATTTTGGATTTAATGTGTGTTCAATTGTTAATTTATTATTAATACAATGATATGCACATCTAAGTTTTTTTTTTCATTTTAAAAGCTTTGGTTAAAGGGATATCGAGGAGTTTTTCCATGTCCCCACTGCTGGTCATTCAACTTAGATCTAAAATATAGCTATTAAAAACTAATTAATTTATAAATATGTTATTATTATTTTATTTAACTTGTCAAAATTGTCATGGCTTGGCTCTCAGCCACAACAAACGCGCGACAGAAAACGAGGGCGTGAATAGGAAAAAATTGTTTATTCACTGCTGCTGAAGGACACAAACAGGCGAAACAAACTACGAAACAAGAGGTCAGCTGGTCGTGGCTGCTCTTCGCGCTGCGTCCTCCTGCCAGAGAGAGAGCGAGAGCGAGATCCGGCCCGGTCCTTTATCCGGCTAGCTCCAGCCGCCAGGTGTCCTCAATCCCAGCTGATAGACCAAAGGGAAAACCTTAAAGGAACATACACACACCAGAGATAACAAGGCAGGGGTCGTCACAAAATCTATCTAATCAAATAATGTTTTTATTCAAATTGTTAAAAAAAAAAAAAAAAAGGTTTAATGTTTGTCCCCGAGGGTCGCTGTCCACCCTGTTGAGCTGTGTATCTGTCCCTTTAAGAAAAATACATATTTCTCAGTGACATCACACCTATGAAATTAAATGACACCAGAGGCGGGAAATTCAACTGCGGTAAACTGTGTTGGTTTCTACTGCTCTTACAACTGATTTTGATGTTTCTGTCAATTTAGTTTGATGTGTTTGAACATAACATGTCCAACCTGTTAGGCCTAAGTATGAAGGATATTAATCGAATTTTATTATTTAAAAAAGTGATTGATTCCTCATAAAGTATCCAAGGTCATGCTAGCAAATATGCTAACACAGGCGGGGTAAAGGCTAACTTTTGCTCAAAATGTCCACCCTGTTAGGCTTATTCAACTAACAGGGTGGACAACATCCTAACAGGGTGGACATGTAAGTATTGTTTACTTATGACAACATTTGTTAATATTATATTATTTATTGTTATATTATTTTATTACTATTATAACATTATAATAATGTTTTTATAATATAATAAATTATCACCAGAAGGATAGCATGGACTTCATCTTCAAGTCAAGGTAAGACCACAAATGCAAATGAAATCTTACTAAGAAAGAACAATCCAATATTTAAATTGTGGGTAGGCCTATCCTTTTGTTGAACGGTCTGTTTAAAATGAATTGAAGCATCAGACTAAAAAAGCTTTTGAAAATAACCGAATATTTCGATTAAGGTCAAAATATAATATTTGTAAATCTGACTCTGAAAGAGTCAGTGCCTCACCAGCCATGAACCGCACCGCACGTCACTGCCTTCTGGACAACAATCTCTTTTACTTTTTTGTAAAAGTCCTCCTTATCTTCCTGTAGTTTCAAAAGTCTAGTTTGTTGTTCGCGTCTACCGCATGGATGTATAATAAGAACGTAGAATAACAGTCGCAACAAGAACCTGTGGGCTCACTTGCGCCCCCTTCAGTGCGGCAGAGGTTATGGCTGCCTCCCCTGGTGCTTTTTCATTGCCGTTGTATGATGAGACCAGCGAGCCTAAATATCATATATACGTGAAATAAGTTATTTAGAGACTATGGATGGCGAGGATAAATGTAATAAAGGGATCTACAAACATTACATTGGTGACATACAGTGAGATGGTGCAGGCATGCGCTTAGGGCCCGCTTTCCAGCCAGTTTATGTGGGGTGACGCATTCTGAGGTGAGGCAGAGCTCATCTGTGCCTCACCTCACCACACAGTAACTGGCTTGAGCGCGCTCACAAAATAAGTGCTCGCGCTAAATTAGTGCCCGCGCTCCAGCCAGTTACTGTGGGCTTACGTGAGGCAGAGCTCGTCCCTGCCTCACTTCTCATCGCTACCCGTAGTTGTAGCGGAGGAGCTCTGCAAATTTGCTGATTTTGACTATAAAAAGCGATTGGAATCATACAGAAATCACATTTACAAAACAGATCAGTGACCAAACACTTTTGATCAGACATTTTATTATTATTACTATTTAGTTTTTCTTTAGTTGTTTTTCCGTTACATTGATTGGAGTATGACAGGTGAGGCTCTGCCTCCCCTGCCTCCCCTGACTGCACGTCGCTGTTATGTACACTAGGATTATAGGTGTATATTACTTAAAGTAATGGCATGCATTTGTATAGGAATGTCACCCCCGATAAGTGCAGCTGATTCACAGCGGTACTACATTAATATATCTATATATATAAAGATTTAGGTGCCTGAGCTTGACCAAAATGTTTTTTATCAAATTAGATATGTCCTTTATAGAATAGAACATTAAAAAGTAGGTAAATCAACTATTTATTTCACCCAATTTATGAAGTCCAAATGGCACCATATGAAAAAAATAACCCTGTTACCAAAATGAAGCAGTAATAGGAACACTTTTTCAAAAAAATGGTGTAATAAAAAGTAGTTTATTACAGTTACTACGAGCTAAAAAGTAAAAGATGGGCCCAGTGAAATATATAGGAGGCCCCTTTAAATGGATTATACCATTTTTGACAGACGGGGGTTGTTATTGCGAAATACCACACGATTATCGTATATCGCTAATATCTGCTGCACAGACAAGGTAGACATTTTAATTTAAAATGATTCGTTGTTGTTTATTTTAACTGACTGAAATGTTAAACAAGGAAACCAATCTGCAGAGTAACAGGCATCGTTGAGCGGTCCCGGAAATCCCTGTATTTACAAACATTCTTAGCTAGCACTGCTGTATTTGTAACCAGCTGGGAGCTAAAGCGAGGAGCTAAGGAGATACTACCTGACGGCGTAAAGACGCTTTTTTAGATATCTTCCTGTCAAATAAGGCGAGGCTGTGAAGTGGGACAGGCATGCTTGAGACTACTACAGCGGGTGAAAACCGCCTTGACGGCCCTGAAAGTGACGCGAAGCAGCCTCCGAGCACCGCAACAACGGAATACTGCGCAAAGTTGCAGCAGTGGATGTGGCAGTATCACTGGGGTTATTCCAATTGGCAAAGCTGGGTGTCTCTGTCTGCCTTCCCCTTCCCTCCTCCGGGTTGTTTCCCTCCGCCGGGGACATGCCCTCAGACACCGGGTACAACTGCTTCGACATCCGCCGGTGCGCAGCTAGGCTTTGACACGCTAAACCGGTACAGTTACCCCTATCCCCTCAATTTCCCTGCATCCTACCCCCACCCAGCTGGTGCCCACACGGAGCAGACAGCCGCTGATGCCCGGACAGCCCAGCAGCAGAATGGAAGTCCTCCTCAGCCAGGTATGGATCATGTTTGTCCGAGATATTTCTGTGGTAGTGAAAGGCCTACGTCAGCCGAAAAGCTGTTTAGACTCCAGTAGTGTGTGGGCTTTATTTTGTGCAAGCTAGGTCATGAGTCTGTGGGAAGCAGGCTTAAGTTAATTACTAAGTAAACAAGCTTAAAGTCTTTCCCAAGTCTTTCTCATTTGACACATTCTCGAGATCAAGTCATATGAATGCGTCTGTATATAAGATGCTTATGTTTTTGTATGTTCTTCATACAGGACGGGAGTACATCATCCCCTCTCCTCTCCAGAGGTTCCTGGCTGAGACTGTGGATTTCTTTATCCTGTTTTGTGTGAAGGCCACCATTGTGCTGTGGATCATGCATCTGAGTGGGATGAAGTGAGTGGAACTGTTATGCTCTGTTCAGGGTAAACAGACCTTTTCAACTCAAAGGTTGAACAAATAAACAACAACTAAACTCGGCTAACCAGGCTGTGGTGTAGCTGTGGTTCAGTTATGCAAAGTACACATTTTTCATCCATGCTTTGGTGCCAAGGTGTTTCAACATTCCACAGGTGATCCATCCTCACTACTACTACATACTTTCTCTTGTGTTTAAAGGGACATTACCAAGTTCATTACCCACTTCATTGTGGAGGAGATCGATGAGAACACGTCCATGGAGGACCTGCAGAAGATGATGGCTGTAGCTCTGGTCTACAGGCTGCTGGTGTGCTTCTATGAGGTGAGTCATATGATCACATGGTGATATGGATGTAACATGCACAAATATTTAAGCTAGATGAAAAATGCCAAGCAGGAAAGTTCACATCTGAGAATGCATGGACATTTGAACTCGTTAGTGAAAGTGTTGTTTTGTTAGTTTAGATAGAAGATGTCGTATCACCATTATTGATAAGTGTTGATGTATGCCCCAAATTAAATACACATACATCTTTTTGTAAATGTAGTAACATCTTTCAATTATACAGGGAGGGAAAGTGAATGTTAAAAAATCTGTTGGTGGTCTTTAATGGTACTTACTTAAGTATTTATAACCAATGTATTTTTTAATGTTTCAAGTTTCACGGCTTTTATTGTCATGTGTGCATAGCTACAGTGTAGTTATGACAATGGAAATCTTAGGTCACAGGCTCCTCCAACAGTGCAACACAATAACACAGATAAAAAGTAAATAAAATAAAAAATATAATAGAAACAGTGCAGAATAGTCTCTATACAGTAATTGGAATATTGATATATGACACACTACCAATCCTCATTCATTATGAGCTCCCTCCCAGCTCAAACATGCTCTTGTTTAATGAGAAGAGCCTGGTCCAGCCTTTACAACACCACACTAGCTCCTACAGAGCACAGTGATGCAACGTTGTGTGCATAGTTGCCTGAGATGAAGTCATGTCTCTTGTTCGACTCTGCATCAGTGGTTTGTTTTCCCAGGTGGGAGCCCGCCTTGGGACATTAAGACACCTCAGCTCAGATGAATGCCATCTGGCAGGGTTCGTTTGTGTCGACCTGAACATATATTTCTAGCATTTTCCTCTGCAGCATGATATCATTCATTAATACCTTCAGCACTTTACTACTGTACAGTTTATTGTATTAGCGCCTTTGTGGTTTTTAACAATGTCTCACATAAAGATGCATCCTGTTTTAAATGTATTAATGGTGTCCTTCTTTTCCAATCAGACCATCTGTATTTGGGGAGCTGGTGGTGCCACGCCAGGGAAGTTCCTGCTGGGCCTGCGCGTGGTGACGTGTGACAACTCCACTTTGGTCCGACCCAACCGAGTCCTTGTAGTCCCGGCCTCTAATGTCTCCCTCTCTGCGTGAGTGGACAAAGTTTTAATCCACTGTAGTGTCTAAAATCACAAACCAATGTCTCTGTAGAGCATCTCTGTGGGGATTCTGAATCTTTGTCTTGTTCCTTTCACAGCTCTGCAGTGCGGGCACTTAATAAGAACTTCTCCATCGCCTTCCTCTTTCCCGTCTTCATCACCCTCCTCTTCTTCCAGCACAACAGGACTGTGTATGACATTGTGGCGGGGACCATTGTGGTCAAGCGCAGAGGCAGATAGCCTCTCCTCAGGCAGCAGACTCTCATACTGCGGGTGCAGAGTGTCTTAAGTTTAAACCAGTTAGAAATGAACTTACTTTGAAAAAAGCAATGCATTAGCCCATTTCTTCACTGGATCAAGGACTTAAACTGCACTTTGATATTGGATGCATGCAGGTTTCGACCTGGTTCTTGAATTCAAAAGAATCTTTTAAACCACGGAATCAGCAAATAAGATGTCAGAAACTCTTTAAAGTATTGTAATTTTTGATAAGTGCAAAACAAGTTAATACTGATATTTATGTTTGTGTTTGATTTAATTATTCTAATAATAATCTAAAAGAAGTGTATGAAATCAGAATAATTTAAAAACATACTTCAATGAATCAAGCATTACTTGGTTATTGTTCTTTTCTTCAAGGTGATAATGTTGAATTTAAATGTTTGGTTTGCTAAGGATTTACATTGTGATTATTCTTAAGCACTCCGACTGAAGAAAAGTAACGCCAGGCTTATTTGTATCCATTTTCTGTGCCTATGGATATTTTGATGAAGAAGTATTGTTTTGTTATTCAAAATAACGTTTTAGTCCCTCGTGTATGAGGTTCAAACACGAGAAAGTGTGTTTGTGTATTCCCTGCTCATATTTCTGTCTTCAGACTTGTAAATCTTGTGACTCAGGGCAACTGTTTAGCATCAGATCGAATGCCACGGCACCTAATAATTCCTAATTATGCATAATGTAAAACTCTTATGTTATCAGAGATTTTTAACCATTTATTCATATGTCATAATGTTGGCTAAGCAGACCAGTTTAGAGTTGACTTAAACCTGCAGTATGGCAACTTATTTACAAACTGGTACATGATTAATGCAAAGTGTTAAGGTTGCGACCATTTTTTATTCATGGTCTCAAATACCAATATCTTCACTTTTGAGAGACTCACTCAAATATATCGATAAAACAACATTTTGCACGTAATATCTCAATTTACTAGGCACATTTTGATGAAACCCACACAAAAAAAACACATGCTGACATAGCATTGACACTGTTTACCACTAAGGAGGGAGATGTTGAAGATTAAATAAAAATATTTGTAAGATTCTCATTGAAGGAATTGTGTCCCCTTGCATTAGTGAACATTTATTTGGTTGTATTTAATGGATGTGCTGCATAAGGGGGAACATGTTTCAAAGCAGAAGTGATTGAGTGATAATACTGCACTGAATCAGTTTCAAGCACAAAAGCGGGTATAAGGGATGGTCATCATTACCGTCCTATAGGTCGAAGTTTTGGAGGTCGGGCTGATTTAGGCAAAAAATGGCCAGGATTTTCAGAATACATTAAGAAATCTATTTTCTTTGTCTCATGTCTGAAAATGTGGGCGATAGAGCTACTGTGCTATATAATTACAGGATTAAAGGGATTCGTTTTTACTTAAAGGAATGCTCCACTCATTAGATAATTAATCAAAATGTCAGTATTTAGTGAAACATTATGTTTAAACCATACCCTGAAGAAATCAGCGATATTCCCCGGTAAATAATGATTTTATAGCTCTTTTTTATCAAAACCTGTATATTCCGTCAGGCCGCTGCCATTTTGCCCATTTTCAGTAGTCACGTGATGGTCGTGACGTCATCCATGCGTTCACTTTGTAAACACCATATACAGTCTATGGTAAACACACGAAAACATGGCGAAGTTTTGAGCAATATGAAGAGATTGGAAGGGGGAATTCAGCCATACAGGTTCGAGCCTACGTAGTACTACTTAGTAGATACAATGATTTTGATTACTAGATATGTATGCATGTATTACCACCCTTGCTAGCGATTCCCTCTCTAGTTTAGCATACTCAGCCTCGTTGTCCCTGGCCCTAGAACCACGATTTTATGGGGCCGGAAAAACTGGGGGGAAATACGCTATATGGAAAGGCCACCAAAAACTGGCCTGGCCTGGACGATAAAGGACGTTTAAACGGGGCTACCCGCTGCAATGGAAATGCGCCATAACATACCTTATTCTTACTCCGAGCACTACTTCTGGTCCTCCGTCGCTTCACACTTGCAGAGGGAGATTTCTCAACTGGCCGAACTGGTGTCCTGGTCGGTGATGACACCAGAAAGACCGATGGTACTGCATCTCCATTAAGTAATGGTTGTTCAATAAATCCCATGTTATGTTTTATCATACTCTCAGAGTAGTCGTCCGGAAACTTGAAATGTTCGCTGCATACATGCGCCTGTGGATCTTTCGGTTCGGGCCGGCCACATTTCGCTAGCCACTGCCTCCGAACGTACTTCCTACGCTTACCTTTTGGCAACAGATGGAACCGAGCATTCCGTGGATTGTTCCTATCAGAATAGTGGCAATGTTTCGCGATACAATGAGGCATATTTGAAGAGAGTAACTACAGTAAATAACATGAACATCAACGTGTCCTCGAAACCAAACGCATGGTTTACGTCACGTCCGGTAAAATGGCGCCGCCCACAGTGTTGATGTTATTTCGGTAATTAATCAGTTTAAAATCACTGATAATGTCATCGGATTAAAAAAAAAAAAAGAGAGACTGGCAGAGACTGGTCTGTTTTATCGGATGATAAAACATTTTAAATGAGTGTCATGAGCATACCATTCCTTTAAAGACCTGTAAAGGACATTACACGCTCTGGTACAACGGTAACGTGTTGTGCACTTTAATGTCAACATTTGACTTTCAACCTGGAGGCATCTTTAAACTGAACAACCAACCAACTTACAATTAAAAACACAACTCAACTCTACTATAGAGATGTCATTTTATCTGAAGTAGGAATATTATATTGTATTTTTGTAATGGGGTCACTTTTTGAGTACGTTATTTTATGTTGAAAAGTGAATTCCATATCTAAGTTAAAAGCAGTTTTTAGGAATGACTGTTCTCCACAGTTGCCGTATCGCTTGTAGCCACATGAGGGCGACATTAGACAACACAGATCAGATAATGTGGCCCAGATAGTCTGTGGAAAGTGCCTGCAGTTAGTAGATGTTGCCATTATTTGAGATGATAAGATAACAGAAGATGTTCTTGCACATAATCTTAAGGGTAAAAAGCACAGCCTGTGTTTCATAACTGATCAACTTTTATTATAACTGCGGGCACACCCATATGCTGACTTGCAATAATGTGTTTTCGCAGTACCTGCCTTCCTGTCTGTTTGTCACTCCACGGTGTCATCAGCCACTGCTAATGATGTCAACATATTGTTTTCACACATTGCTGACAGACTTCCGTTTTTAATCCTTAAAAAACAGCATAGGCTTTTCTCTGTGACACCTCCAACCATTTTTTTGTTGCTGACATCTGCAAACCATAGACTGTATAAAAATACATTTTCTTTATACTCTGTCTATGCTGTAAAGTCATTACTGGAGCACCAATGTCAGTGTATGGGTTTATTTTAGGCTACAGATCACGCAAGGTGGTTTACTTGGGTGAAAAGTGATGCTACTTCTTGACAATGCTACATAGTAGTGTAAAAACATTGCTTTATCAACTTCATGTTACACTGAGATTGTGGGGTTTATTCTACTACAGCTTGTAGTAAAGCCAAGTCTACAAAATAATCAACTAAGGATTATGGATTAGCTTTATTATACATGGATTGGATCTTGTGTTGTAGTATGTAGTGCTTTGATAACTTTTATACCATCAAATCCATTGATTTAGCACCTCTAGACATACCATATTTATGGGAAATGTGACCACTTATGTTATGGTATAACAACTGAACTGACTTCTCAAGGATTCAAGGCTTTTATTGTCATTCGTACATAGCTACAGTGTAGTTACCTCCATGAAAATCATAGGGCAGGCTCCTCCAACAGTGCAACACAATAAAACAGATGAAATAGTGCAAGTAAATAAAATAAAATAGAAGTAGTGCCATAAGAGTCTACAGTGTATACAAGTGATACATCATTTGTGAGTTGCAAACGGGTGAATGTTACTGTATGGATGTTCTTAGTTCAGTTTTAACAGTCTCTCCATGTTGTGTTGTATTTGATTAAAGTTAAAAGAGAATTAATAAGGTTACTCATGTTACAAGTTGTCATTTAGAGACTATTTAGGAAACATGAACAAATGCATTACTGCAGTTTCACAATTATTTTTGAGCAAGTGCAAAAGCAAAGTGCTGTGGAGTTGAATTTGTATGAGCCGGATTCTTTTAAGATTAGCCAGGGGCACATTTTGTCTTTAGGTCCCAGTAGGAAGACATAGCGGCTCTCTTCAGAATGGTAGGTTTTTAAATAGCAACCATTAATCCTTATGAATTAGTAATTAACACCAGTCTCTTGCCAACTTTCTCACTTTTACGTGCACAAAAATGATACAAAAGACACAAATTAGAGCCACCGTGTGAGACTATCTAACAGCTCTAGTCTTTTAATTAAAGTTTGTTTAGGTTTACTTTTACATTATGTCATGGATTCACTTTGTGGTTCAAATGTTTCCAGAACTCTGACCTTCAGCATCATTTAATCCTTTCACCTGCGGTCACATGTGTGGTCTGATGCAAATGAGTATTATGCAGTGACTGAATTACAAATGTATTACATCTTCCATTGTTTCCTAGCTTGTAGAACTTAGATGTGCATATTAAAAGGTATTAAAGTCCTTAAATGGCTTTGAGGCAAGAAAGGGGGAAGAAAACCTATGCAAACTTGTTGTCATCCACTGTGCATGATTTTAAAAGTTCATCACAGCATTTTGTCCTTCAGTAGCAAGTTGTTGTGCTGAGAGTCAGGAGTTGTTCTCTGTGCCAGGGAACTGAGAGAGGCTTAGCAATAATTACGCCTCGAGTGGCTCTAATACACATTTCACAGGGAAACAGAGAGAAGAGAGAAAGCAACACAAGTGTGAGATGCCGAAAAGGGATTACGAGAGAGACAAAAGCCCAAGAGGAAAGAAAGGATTGGAAAAGGGAGTTTGAAATGAGAAGAGAGGGAGGAGGAAAAAGAGAGAAAGAATGAGAGGGAGCGAGTGAGGCTGAGGGACACCATGCTTTAAAATTCTCTCTGATCTTTGAGCCGTGGGACCAGAGGCGATGGAATACCCTGCAGAACTCTATTAAAATTCATCCAGCTTCACTAAAGCTCTCAGTTATTATATAAGAGATGCCCTGCCCAGCGCAGCTTTCTCTGTTTGCTCTCCGTCGCAAACACACACAGAACATGAGCAGGCAGAAAACAAACAAGACGGCAATCCAAACACACATTTAACCAACGCTGTGTTCAGTCATAGACAAAAATAAAGACACTTGAAGACAGGTGACCTTTCCTTTAAACTTTATTTAGTGCAGTTTACATATTAATATACACGTTTTATTTAATCAGAGCTGGAGCACTTTTCTTTATAGAATGCCCATTTGTATCAACTTGTTAAAGTCAGCATTTATTTTAGAAGACTATTGTTTTGTTTGAAAATTAAAGCCGCATTAACAGATTATCGTAGCACTTGAGAGGGCAGCAGAAACAAGCTACAAACACAACATTGACACATTGTAACATTATAAAGCTGATGCTCTGAACATTTTAGCATCAGATTCAGTTGTACATAAACTTTGGCACCGGGCTTTCCTTTTAGCTCTTTTGGTGTACCATTTAAGTTGCTTGGCATTGTTCTTGATTCTGGTTTACGGTGGACAAAGCAAATTGACAGTATCGTAACTAAAATGGGAAGGAGCATAGCTGTGGCGAGAAAATGTACAAAGTATGTAACACCAACCACTTTGAAACAAGTCATTCAGTCTCTGGTTTTGTCACATCTTGAGTACTGTCCGGTCATATGGTCATCAGCAGCAAAAA